ATATATATATATATATATATATGTATGTATGTATGTATGTTTTCATGTATATAAATATACAGAACAGAAATTTTATTAATAAATATATATATATATATATATATATATATATATATATATATATATATATATATATCATGCCATCCAGTGGTTTATTTCTTAATTTTCATTTTTTTATCATCAATATATACCGCTCTTAAAAAAAGAAGAAATGAACTGGATGTATTCTAGAATTCAAAACGAGGCTAATATGGCGGCAACAGATGATCAACATCACTTTGACTGTGTTTGATCTGTCCCATTAAGATAAACAGTTTGACATCTTATCAGATATGACATTTAAAAAATGGTTGAAAGTCCAGCTACACAGTAAAACTATGAACGTCCGTTCTATTTTAATTTATTGATTTATTGTGTTATTAATTTGATTATGTGTAATTGGAAAGAGCTAATTACGGGCAATCTTATCGCTGTAAGACTACGGATTTTTTGTCCTCTGAGAAAAGCTCTAAATAATTATTTCTTGAACGATTCCGAACAACGTTAACTTTGATATTTGATAATGGTTTAAAATAACTTGTACTTTAAATGCACAAACTGGATACCAACATGCACACACGGACATACACACAAACACAGACATACACATACAAAGACACACGCATAGAAATACAATCGAAGAAGCCAAGTTTTCCCGATAGAATCTGTTTTGCATATTTATAAGTCTACCATGCTTTGGATAATGTTGTCACATCTGGTCTATTGCTCCGGATATATATTTAGAGATTCTTGATGAAATCCAAAGATACATCTGCAATGTTATTGGTCCGGATCAGGCATTTCGTCTTCACTCATTTTCCCACCGCCGTACCTTTTATTTATAAGTTTACCATTAGCCGTTGTTTTGAATATTTTTGCTACATCTGGTCTGCTGCTCTTGTTGCATATTTAGAGATTCCTGGTAAAATCCAAGGAAGAATCTGCAATGTTATTATTCCTGACCTGGCATCTCAGCTTCAGTTATTTTCCCACCGTCGTTCCTTTTATTTATAGGTCTACCATTTATCTTTGCTTTGATTATTGTTGACACATCTGGTCTGGTGCTTCTGCTATATATTTAAAGATTCTTGATAAAATTCAAAGAAGAATCTGCAATTTTATTAGTCCTGACCTGGCATTTCGGCTTCAGTCACTTTCCCACCACCGTATTTTTATTTATGAGTCTACCATCCGTCCTTGCTTTGAATATTGCTGACACATCTGGTCTGGGGCTCCTGCTATATATTTAGAGATTATTGATAAAATCCAAAGAAGAATCTGCAATGTTATTAGTCCTGATCTGGCAACTCGGCTTCAGTCGCTCTCCCATCGTCGTACCTTCTTTATTAGTCTAACATTCGCCCTTGCTTTGAATATTGCTGCCACATCTGGTTTGCTCTATGTTTAGAGATCCGCGATAAAATTCAACGAATCTGCAAAGTTAACACTCCTAACCTGGCATCTCGGCTTCAATCAGCGTCGGATTCCTTATAAGAGAGATGAAGACAAACATCCCCCTTCCTCACTTTTGGTTTTTTGTATCATTTTTGTATAAAACAAAATAATTACCACTTTCCTCTTTATAAACTCTATGATTTTAAGCGCAGTATGACATTGGCGGAAACGACTCAGCATTAACAATGTTTTCTATTTCTGTAACATTCAATAACGCTTTACGCCTGCTCATAGTATTCCATTGGTGAGATGGAATTCGACTCGACAATTTGACAGAAGTTTTTCAAAGCAAACTCGATCTTGATTGAGATCTTATCAAAAAAAGAAAAAAGTCTTTAAATGAAATTGTCTACATTATACAGCCAAAATATATTAGTGGTTCTACCCTGCTAGATATTATTGCCAATTGTAAGCAGTGAAGGAATGTCCCTGATTCTTACCAATTTAGATATCCATCCCCAAAGATTTTGCCTGCATTCCATTTTCCTTCATGCTATCTCCAACCGTTATCTTCTGTCTTCTTAAATCCTTTATATTTCTTATCACAGCTGCACGGGATGACGTACACACAAAAATATGGATTACCAATGGGATCGTCTCTTAGTGAAGTAATGGCATGTATTTTCTAAGAATTTCTCGAATCTGACCCTTTCCAATGTATTTTACCTAAACAATCAACATACTTCCAATATACTGATTACTCTATTAATATACAGATTTACCTGATATAAACAAAGTCGAACATACAATAGAATTTAACTGCGAAATGGAAGAAAAATATATATATATCTTTCCTCAATATCATGCCACACCACATTGACAGTAGCTTAAAACGTAATATGCATCGAAAATCAACCAATAAAAACGATCTCATAATTTTCTATTCTCATCATGACAACAAAAGAAAATCTCTAATGATCATCGGATTCTATTTAAGAGCACTCAGAATTTGCAGCCCTTAATATTTATATGACGAGAAGAAATATATTGAAAGTACTTTCAAGGCCCTCCAATGCCCTAATTATTTCATATTCTTTGCTAAACAAAAGGTTCATAAAACAGTCCAAAATAGAAAAGCATCCCCGCCTGAAGTAACCCAACGAATGAAAAAATATTTTTCTACCGACAAACTCTATTGCATCAACAATCGAAAAGAATTTATTTGAACTCAACATAAAATTTGCCACAACCACATCAAAAAGAATAAAAGACTTAATACAAAAACAACAAGCCCATACTTGAAGAAGGATGTTACTCTATCACCATCAATTATTGCCAGATATAATATACTTGTAAAACAACAAGAAGTTTAAATAAAATATTATGTGAACATAAAAGGGACATTTTAAACAACAACACACAAAACATAAAAATGCTACTCTAATTAAAAGAGAAAATAATTCACAAAAACGAAAATGGCTAGAAAGTGCTTTTCTCGCTAGGTCATCCACAGTAAATTTCCGTCCACGTTCTTATAACGTCTAAGTATTTTTTATATATATTCTGTTATCACAATGTGGGATATTTAATAATAAAAGTAATGGAAAATTAAAAAGAATATAAATGAAACTGGCTTGATTATATACACAAAACATATTATATATATATATATATATATATATATATATATATATATATATATATATATATATTCTAAATTTAAAAAATTCTAGTGTTTTAGCTTTTTTTTGATTTCTAGTTATCATCAAGGTAAACAAATCTAATTCGTTAAAGTCTTAATGGATGAACTTTTTTTTTTTTCCAATTTGTCAAATACCATGTTTTAAAATAAATGATTCCATTAAACACAGACATATATATATATATATATATATATATATATATATATATATATATATATATAAGAAATTTTTTGAAAAAAAATAAAATATAAATGTAGTTTTTTGTTTTTTTTTTTGTTTTTCAAAATTTCTTCATTCTGTCGGATTTATATCCATTTACACTTGCTTATATATATATATATATATATATATATATATATATATATATATATATATAATAAATATTTAATTTTCATTATATTACAGAATATTTAATTTTAACAAAATCATTTCATACTCACGAATAACCTTCCGTGTATTGATGTTAAAGGGTAAGAGAAATAAAAGAAATTTAAACAGCTATAGCACATTTCTCTCATCGTTCAACATCAATACACGGAAGGTTATTCGTGAATATGAAAGGATTTTTTAAAAAATTAGC